TTTAGAGTGGAACAGCTTACAAAATAAGTTCTGTTTTTCAGGGTGAGTTTAGTCTCAAATTCATTAATTAAACATAATCATGACATTAAAACAGGGTAAGTATAAAATGTCTCAGTAACACAGTAATCAGTTGCTCAAATTAGAGGCTGTTTTTCTTTCCTCTTATTAAAGATGTATTTATTTATTTGAAACACAGAGTACACACGTGTGTGTGTGTGTGAGAGAGAGAGAGAGAGAGAGAAAGAGAAAGAGAGAGCGAGAGAGAGGTAAAGAGAGAGAAAGACAGAGGTGATCTTTCCACTGCTTTGCTCTCCAAGTGGCTGCCAACAGCTGGAGCTGGCCCATTCTGAAGCCAGGAGCCAGGAGCCAGGAGCCAGGAGCCAGCAGATTCTTTAGGTCTCCTATGAGGGGTTCAGGAACCAAAGCATGAGGGCCATCTTCCACTGCCTTCCTAGGCCTATAATCAGGGAGCTGGATGAGAAGTGAAGCATCTGGAACAGGAACCAGTGCCCACATGGGTTGCCCATACTACAGGCAGCAGTTCTATCCAATACACCAGACTACCAGCCCCAATCTGTCTTTACTTAGTAATCTTTGGATTATTTTATTTGAACTGATTAGATAACATATAATATCAATATAAATTTTCTTATAATGATATATACACATGTTGTTTTCCTTTATTATAGTAAATATTAACACATTTATATGTTAGTTATATATTTATACATATTATAGTAAATATATAGAGAGATGACAACATGAATCACTATACATTTGTATGATCTTTTTTTCGCATCTATTTAATTTTTACTTTCATGGTACAATTCTATAGGCTCTGCGACTTCCCCTACCCTCTTCTCATATTCCCTCCCTACAACTTATTTCCCCCATATTATTACAATAGTATATTTCATTATCTTAATACTATGTGTTGATTTGAGATTCTGTAATTTTTGTTTAATCCACCTCAAATATCCTGACATTTACCCAATCGTGTCTCCTGTGACACAACACAAAGGAAAACATATCCCCATTCTTTTACAATATTAAATATCCACATGGATTTTAACGTTTCCTTCTTTGCTGCTTCTTTTTGTAAGTGACATCCTCTACCACCCTAACCCCTGGAACTGCCTGTCTCCTATTGGTTCTTCCTTCTCTATTTACCTTTTCCCTTGGAAAAATTGCTCAGCACTCTATCCTCCTTTCAACACACTCAAGACCCAAAAAATATCTACATATATCAGCAACTCTTGAACATATTATCCTACAGAGGACCTTCACATACATGTTACTTGTGACTAATTTTTTCAAATACTAACTTCCTTCTTTCAGAGCAACAACTGCAGCTACACAACATTTGACAGCATCTGCCATATTTTACTCATCCCGTCTTGTTCAGCTAATCCAAGTAGCATGCTTCAACCACTAAGGATTAACAACTCATAGCTATTATCCGTGCTCTCAGAGATGGTCCACACTTTGCCTTTTCTCTTTCTGATTTCTACACCTCTATTAAAATTTCCCAGTTTTAAAACACCAGTTTTTTTTTTCTGCTGACTTTACAAGATGTCATTCTTGTCCATGGCATCCACTATTACCCACACATTTAGGGACAAGCATTTGGGGAGATGATTAAAGTCTCTTCTTGGGACTCCTGCATCTACATATCAGAGTGGTTCAACTCTCAGCTACCCCACTGGTAACTAGTACCACTCTGGTGAGCAGGATGGGAACAAGGATGTGGGTCCCTGACACCCATGTGGGAGACTCAGCTGGTGTTCCAGGTTGGTTTCAGCCTGATCCAAACCCGGTTGATGTGGGTAATTGGGGAGAAAGACAGTTGATACAAATTCTCTCTCTCTGAGCTTTTTTTTTCAATTATGAATAAATACATTTCTTAAACTATATCTTAAAAATAACTCCTATCTTATTGTTTACAAGTATCTTCCAGTTGATGTTCTGAATGATCAAATTTTACATGCTAAAATAAGAATTTAAAATCCTTTCCTTTTTTCAAAGATTTATTTCTTTTTATTGAAAAGGCAGATATACAGAGAGGAGGAGAGACAGAGAGGAAGATCTTCCGTCCGGTGGTTCACTCCCTAAGAGGCTGCAACGGCTGGGGCTGAGCCAATCTGAAGCCAGGAGCTTCTTCCGGGTCTCCCACACAGGCACAGGGTCCCAAGGCCTTGGGCCGTCTTCGACTGCTTTCCCAGGCCACAGGCAGGGAGCTGGATGGGAAGCATGGCCGCCGGGATTAGAACCGGCATCCACATGGGAACCCAGCATGTGTAAGGCGAGGACTTAAACCACTACGCTATCGTGCTGGGCCCTATAATCCTTTCTTAATCACTGCATATTAAACTTTTCTCCTCTATACTTAATAGTTGCTGCTGACTCATTTATGCCAAATATTGTGATCCATTTGAAACTCCATATACTCTTTATTTCCTGTATCCAATTGAAGACTGACCTTTATTTTACTTCAAGTCCCAGAAAATATCTGTGATTTTAAAATACTTTTGTCATATCTTACCAAAGCCTACCTTTTAAAGTTTTCCATAAGCTTCCAACTGATTTTTTTTTCAAAGATTTAAGTTACTTTATTTGAAAGTTAGTGTTACAGGGAGAGAGGGAGAAGCAGTTAGAGACATTTTCATCTGCTGGTTCACTCCTCAGATGGACAAAATGGCCAGGGCTGGGCCAGAACAAAGCCAAAGTAGCTGTACAAAGAAGTAAGGAGAAAAAGTTCCAAGAGAAGGAATAATGCTCACTCATGCTATTGCAGCACTTCATGATATTATGCAACAAGGAAATGGGCAACATCCTGTTTCCTTAAAATTCATAAGCCTATTCATGCTCAGAATTCTCTTTTCTCAATTTTCTTATCTCAGTTCAAGTCTGGAACTCTCACTCATTAGTAACATAGTGTCAGTGTAAATCTGTAAGGACAAAGGAAAATAATCCAAGCAAGGCTTACTTGAGTACTTGACATTCATTCCCTTAAGGCAATCTTCATATCAAGGGTCTGTGAAGTTGCGATTCCAAATTCAACCACATCAAAGACAGTGAGAGTCCAAGTCATTCTTACTCAAATTTGCTGTAATTCTGACTAATGTTTCTTGGCTGAAGAAAATTATCTTTTTTTCTAGCACTTGCATCTCTCAGGCTTTGGTGTTTGTATTTTTTTTTTTAATCAAAAGCAGTGAAATCAATCTAGTAGCATCTACACTCATTGTTCTGTGACCTGTGAGGGCTAATAAGGAATAAGAAGTAATGCATAATTTGCACAGCCTGAGACCATGTGAATATTTTCACTGATTTGTTTAATCTCTAGGTAAGTATACCTTAGACAAATATCCAAGGACTGCATCTCCATTCATAATTATGAGCTTCAGCGATGGGTTTTTACAACCAGATATGAGTCTGCCTAGTCTTTAGATTCTCTGTCATCAGAATCAAATTCAAGTGATAGTAGAATAAGATAAAGTCTCTAGATGTAACACGTTATTTTAGTCAATGCCTTATGGTTAAACTAATGAAGGCAAAACCCACAATGATGGATTAAGAAACACAATGCATGATTTTTAAGTGTACACCTTAACACAGCTCATAAAAATCTAATAGCAGGTGCTAATCCATGAATATGCACTGTTTCAATGTTGCCTCATTCCTATTCTGTATTTGCATATGAATTTATCTCACAAAGAATATTCACATAAGTATCTCATTATCACATCCTAATTAGGGGTCATTTTACAGATAAGAATGCCAGTCCTAAGAGAAGCGACATGTTGTCCTCAGCCTCACACAGCTATTATTGCAGCAGAGGCTGAACATGTTCCAAATCAGACTGCCCTCAGTAAGCCTTTGGAACACAACTGTATCTCATTTCCACAGAGAGCTGTTTGTGCCTGAGTAATTAAATCAGGAAGTTTCCTTAAAACCACAGTATTTTGGAGAAGCTTTCTTTTAGAGTGAGTGTTTTGTTTCATAACAGCAACAGAGAGTTCATGGCATTATAAGACTTCGAGTGTTTATATTTTGGTGGAAACAAATAAGATTAATCCTTTTACAAAAATACATTCCTTTTATTATTGTGAGTTGCAGCCTTTCCACATTCAGGAAAACAGGTCAGCAGGCTAAAAAAAGTTTGTAGTTTTTGGTGAGTCTGTGACAAGCAGGAGCTCATCAACCTCACTGAAATGCCTGCTCTACGCTAGGAGTTCCGGGGAAGCCTCATCTTGTGGACTTTGGCTCTCTTTCATGATTCTATTTGCCTGAAATAACTTCAATTAGGGCATTTTATGTTTCAAGCTGTCCTATACAATCAAGCTGCATATATAATTTGGAGGGAAGATTTAGCTCAGCAGTTTATGCGTGGATGATCTTACATTAAATTCCAAGCTGCACTAATTGGTAAAGAGGTCACTGGTTCAGACAGGGTCCCTACAGACAGGGCGCTTTCTGCAAGAAGTCCTGATTCATTGTTCCAATCCAGGCACTGTTCGGCACTCACAGGCAGCAGCAACGGCACGCCTCCCCTCACTGCTTCCCAAACTGTCTGTGATCCCAGCGTTTACACTGAACTTTCTTACAAAGAAAATGCTTTCTGCCTATTTACAAAGCATACAAGGCAAGTTCTGTTCTTCCAACCAGTTTTTTTTTTCAGATAAAAAGACTCCAATATAAATGAAAGTGGGATTCAATGCCACTAAGATCAGTGTAAATTAAAACATTCAGAAATTCAGGGTAAAAGAAAAGCCAAAATCTAATAAAATACTTGGAAATACATTATAATGGAGTTACACTTATTCAGTTGTACTGATGCTATCATGTGCACTAAATTGCACCCATAAATACACACAGAAAAGAGTGTGATCAAATGGTTTTTCAAGCAAGAAGCACAACAAGCATTTCTAAGCTATTGGCAATTATAGTTAACTCCAGAAGCAAAGATCAATGTTAAAAAATGAAAAAAAAAAGATACTTACCATCTGAGAGTGACTTCTAGGGCATCCATTGATGTCTTCAACTTTTTCATTTGCTAAAACCAAAACACAAAATAAAAGAGAGAGAGAGAGAAAGAAGGAAATACTTAAGCAATGAAATGAAACAGAAAAAATAAAGCTTTAAAAAAGCAGGGAAAAATGTTGCTGTAACATTTACTCTTTCTCACGAGCTGTACATAACAGGACACACTTGTTAGTAGCCTCCAAACTCCATGTGTACAAGTCAGGCAAAAGGAAAAAAAAAAGTGAGAAGGAAGTTGCTGCTAATTCTTTCCCTTGTGCCAAATGACTGCTGACATGAAACCTTTCACAATTGTCCCTGCTGGATCAGGATACAGTTTCAAGGAATCTCAGAGTTTAAGAGTCACTCCAGCTAAGGAAACGCACACATGGGAGACATATGGTTTAATGAAGCATTCATTTCTGACAATCCAGTGTATATAAAGATAAAGCTCTGGTTAGTTAAAAGTATGACCAAACTGCCTTTTTCAAACAGCCTCCCATAAGCAAGTTTAACTTAGAAGCAACACACATTCATGTCTAATACGCATGGAACAGTTCAGCATGCATTCAACTCAGACTGTATTTTACCGCACGGGGTGGGAGCAGACTGCCCTGCTTGCCCTTCCAGGACAGGTCTTACCAATGATCTGGATGATCTCTGCTAGCAGGACTCCATCTGCAATGTCCTGTTGCAAATCCTTGATGAGCCGCTTGTGGCCGGACTTTGCCAGGTAGTGGTTGGCCCAGTCAGTGTAAATCTGTTGAAAACAAGGAGGGAATAAGTGAAGTGGGGTGAGGGAAAAGAGGGCCAATAAACGCTGAAGACAAATGTTGGATTCAAAGGGAAGGCTACTCTGGATCACATTCCAGCTGAAGAAGTCACAGCTCCAAAGGAAATAGCTGTGCGATGTTTTTGAAGCAGCTTTCTCCCACTTATCTCTCGTTTCAAAGGGGGATGATTCACTCTTTCAAAATCAAGGACCAGTCATTTGTGACAAGGCAAAACTCCCTTCTCTGATGACTACTGAGGAAATCAGCCTTGCAAATCAGTTTGGTTTCTCTTTCCCTGTTCCTTCTCTGAGAAAATAACCCTACCTGTCCAAGTAAAAGGAAGCCACCTGAACTGACCGGTAAAGGGACTGTTGATCTATAGAGTTGAAAGAAAGCTTTATTGAATTTATCACAGAAGATACTATATCTAACAATATCTTGGCAACATTGTCTGAACTAATTACAAATGGCTTCCTGTCTAAGATATGTTGTTTGGACTGTCAAATCTCATTTAAGCCTCGTGAAATGTGTTTCTACTAGAGAACAGAGGCAGCATACAGATATTACACAGAAATCATGACACAGAGCTGAGAAGTGGGTTGTGAGCCACAGGGTGGTACCACCACCTCTCACAGAGAGCTTTCCGTAGCAGAACAGCTTGAATGTTTCAATTACTTCACAGAAATGTCTCTCACCTTTTTTTTTTTTTTAAAAAGAAAAGGTTAGGGGACAGCAAACAACATGATATTAGACAAAGCAAATATAAAGAAATAATAAACATGAATACACTTGAATTTCATGGATGCCCCATGCGGTATTTGGGTGAGTTTATAACAAGGCAGACTATGATGACATAACAGGAAAAAAAAATGTGGAATGAAAATAAAAAGAGGAATGAATGACTCAGAAATATACAACAAACAATACAAAAGCCTTTAAAAAACAAACTAGAACTGACTGCAAATATGATGCAACCTGACAATAAGAAGTGAATACGAGGGCCTTTGCCACAGAGGGTAAGATACATAGAAAAGCAGAGATGCAAAGCAGTGCAGGATACAATCCTAAAATGGTAACTGAGGCAGGATGCCTAGAATTAGGCCAAAATGAGCACTAGATGCCAAGAACACTCTAAGGCATAACATATTTTTTTTTAGGGCCCGGCGCGGTGGCGCAGTGGTTAAGGTCCTCGCCTTGCACGCCCAGGATCCCATATGGGCGCCAGTTCTATCCCAGCAGCCCCGCTTCCCTACCAGCTCCCTGCCTGTGGCCTGGGAAAGCAGTCGAGGACGGCCCAAAGCTTTGGGACCCTGCACCCGCGTGGGAGACCCGGAAGAGGCTCCTGGCTTCAGATCAACATAGCATCAGCCGTTGCACTCACTTGGGGAGTGAATCATCGGACAGAAGATCTTCCTCTCTGTCTCTCTCCTCTCTGTATATCCGCCTTTCCAATAAAAAATAATAATAATAAAAAATAAATAAATAAATCTTTTTTCTAAAAAGTTTTATTTTCATTTTTATTTGAAAGGCAGGAGACAAGTGGGCAGACACAGGTGGAGAGAATTTTTTTTTAATTTTTTGAGAACAGCTTTAAATTTACTAAATAAAAATCATAGAGTTGTACAGAGTCACACATATGCCTCGTACAGTTTCTCCCACTATTCAGACCTTATTTCAGTATGTTTTTCACAATCGCTAAACAATTCTACCTTCTCCTCTTAGACAAATTTCACCCATCCCTCCATCCGCTAGTAGCCAACACCCCTTGCTCTTACTGAGGTTGGTTGGTTTCTAGGTCCAACATGTGAGGGAGAACAAGTGGCATCTGTTTTGTGTATCTCACTTATTTAACTTACCATGATGTCGTCTAGTTCCATCCGTTTTGCTGCAAATGACAGGATTGCACTGTATATACAGTGCATTTTTCTCCTGGTTCATTTCCCAAATGTCAGCAGAGGCAAAGATGGAACCAACCATGTGCAATGATTTCCCATTTTGGTGGCAGTGCCAATATAATTGACCAAGCCTTCTAAAGTGTGCCTTAGTGGGAGGGTGGACTGGGAACAGAATAGCCAATACTCTAACCAATCACTGTGATACATAAGACAGATGTTCCAGGAGTTCCCCTGATCACTACACCAAATCCCTACCCCTCACTTCCTTTGTGACAAAACAAATACACACATTTTGAATAGGTGAGTAAATAATTCAGAGGTATAGAAATGAAAAAGTGAAAAAATTTGCAAACTTTCAACTATTGCCATATTCAAATAACTTGGCCTGAATGGTTCTAGAAATGAGATGCCTCCATCACCATACTGTACCCTGTTTTATACACATCACCAACAATGGGATATTTAAAACAAATATTCTTCAGTTTTACCTATAACTATTTAAACTTATTATGCAATACTGTAACTGAATAAAACTGTACACATTTATCATAGTTTTAATTGACTTACTTATGTCAAAGGCAGAGGACATGGGGAAGAGAGAGAAGAAGACAGAGGGAGAGAAGATCTCTTCCCTCTCTCTCCCTCTCCCCTGTCTAAATTCAACCTTCAAGTAACATAAATCTTCATAAAAATCACATTTGTGTTAAATCTACAGTTGTAAGAGGCAACTACATAGAGTGTCATAGACAATCGTATGGTGCCTTTTTAAATAGGGCTGAAGTCTAGAAGCAGGATGACTGGTTTTGTGTTTTTCTGGATAGATTCCAGGTATAAACATTCTGAAATTATAATACAAGACAAAAAGAGAATGCTTCTTTCTTCATACAAAATATAAAACAACATCCCATGCATACCTATTAGCAATGAATTTTCCTGAAAGATAAATAATGAAGATATCAAATTGTATAAGAGAAATAGAAACAACAACAAAATGACATTTCCTTTGCCCCTAGGAATTTGCCCACGATCCCTAGGTCAAAGACACTGAAGTGTGAAAAAAAACTACCTGCATTACTGTCTCCTGAATAGTACAAATATGTGATTTCTTAGATGGATACTCTTTTATTTGATGACCAATTTCCTCAATTAAGATTTTACTATATTATAAATTTACAAGATTTTTTTTTAAAGCATTTATACTGGATACAGTTTAAAATACTGAATGCTCTCTCATCATTTACACATAACCCAAATGGAAAAATAGGTTGTTTGGCCTTCTATGAAAACTTTGGATTGAGTCTGGTTTGTTACTTCCAGAGCCAGTGTCACAGAGGCCAGACACGAAGTGATTGAGTTCTGGGGTCAGATGTGACTGCGACACAGACGATCACTCCTTGGACAAGCGAGCTAACCCTCCAAAGCCTCGGATTCCTTAACTGTGAATAAGCAAAATAAAACTAACATCTACATCATAAGACTAATGCGAGCCTGGGTAAGACAGCACTCAGCCCACCACACAGTCAGTTTTGAAATGTCCACTATTTTTATTATCATTGCAGTACCTAGTGTTATTTGACCATGTTGGTTTCCCAAATTAAAAAATTAAAAAAAAAATCTTGTTACAGTTGTCGTTTCACAGAAACTAAAACAGAACAAAGGATATAGGATGCTTTACTACTTGCTCAGGACAACTCCTTTGGCCGGTATCTCTCACCTTATATTCACTCTGTTGCTACACGGACTTGTCTTTAGGAAGTCGGCAAATTTTACACCAAATACTGAAGTAGCAAATGGAATGAAACGTTCTAAAAATAAAAATAAGAGGGGCTAGCACTGTGGCACAGTCACTAGCAGCAGCGATGTCCCGTATTGGCGTGTGAGTTCAAGTCCTATTGTCCAGTTCTGACTCAGTTCCCTGCTAAGAATATCTGGGAAAGCAGATGATTGTCCCACTCACTGGACTCCCGGCACCACGTGGGAGACCCAGCCGGAGCCCCAGGCTCCCAACTCCAGAGTTGTCCAGCCTTGGCCCCAGCAATACAGTGCATTTATTGAAGACTTTGAAATCCATTTATCATACGCGTGAAAGCCTTCTCATCAGAGAAACAGCAGAATCTCTCTTTTTCTCCTTTTCTGTGACTCTGTGTTTCAAATAAACACGTAAATGCAATCTTAAGCAACAAAATTGCGAATATTTTCATTTTCCTAAAGCATGTCATCAGTGTCTTAATCTTTATCAAATCCCTCCTTGGACTTAGGTGAGAAATTCTATGTGAAGCCAGGGTTTCAAGATCTTGACAGAAAACTGCCCTGATTTAATTCATGGAACACTTTCACTTGACCAGGATTTCTTCCAGAAAAAATTCTCAACTTTTAGAGCTTTGTCTTGCATAGCATCTCTAAAATCTGAAATTGCTCAGACTGTATCTACCTTTAGATGCAATCAGCAAAATCACCGATGCTATAAATGAACTTAAAAACAAATTTCTAACTAAAATGTCAACATACTTTATTATCTCAAATAACCTGTATTTAAACTCTAAGTAAAAGATCCTGGAGATCCTTTCAGAAAATTACAAGAAAAGGACAAGTCAGTGTCTTCCAAAAAGATAATATAATTGAGAGGACAAACATAATTACAAAGCAGCCTATTCATATGTACATGTAAATTTATACATATAATACTTCCATTTCTGTGCAGCATAAAACTGTATACATGTAAAGAGAAAATGATATGAAATGAGAAGGCCCTCAGGCAGTGGATGCAGTGACGCATGGACTTAAAACTCCCCAATAAACTTACTATAATGCCCTGAGGAAAGAAGTTATAAACAACTTAGTCACCTATTGTTACAATTTAGTGTTCAAACAAGCAAAAGCAAAGGGTAAAATCATGCCCTGGTTTTGGATGGGAATTCTAAAGGTGCCCCTAGTTACCATTAAAACCAAAAGCACAATGCTTAATATCTTCTCTCTAGACAAATGAGTTCTAAAATACAGAAATTTATTTTGTAGGATTATGTAAAGAATTAATTTCAGGACTTTTCTAGAAGAAAATATGAATAACTGACAATATCAAATTAATCCTAATT